GTTCAGAGTCTGAATCGAGGCTTTGCGGAAAAAATGGCCTTCGATGGTCGGCGATACGAAGTTGTAGAGGACGGCGAGGAAGTTGGGTCGGGACGCCACGGCCACCTGACTCGAGACGAATACATTGAAAAAATTGTTTTGGTGATTCAGAAAGGTCGAGGTAGAGAACTACCTGGTATGTTCAACCCAATGATTGTTACGGAACTATTCAAGGAACTCTCATCGCCGTGGGGAAAGATTGCCGAGGACCACGTCCTGGAAGTGTGGAAAGCGATTCGGCTGTCGTTGAACCACCTCGTCACTCACGTCGCCGACTCCACTACGGTCAAGTCGATCTTGGCCGGCGTCTTTGAGCCGCATCTGGATTCCTTGCTGAAGGTCCTGCGCGAAAGGCTCTCTGGGCTGCTGAAGCCACACCGAACCGGCCACCCCATCACCTACAACCAGTACTTTACGGAAACTCTACAAAGCATCCGCAAGGAGCGTGAAAAGTGCAGACTGGTCGCATTGATACAGGAGGAATTTGGGGCGGTTTCTTTGGGATCCAAAACCTCGATCAGCAGAACGATGGACTTTGGGCAGTTTCTTGAGCGACTGCTTGATCCGCGGGAGGCAGATATGGATCATTTTGCCGCTTCTGACGCACTTGACTGCCTGGATGCCTACTACAAGGTAAGACACCATCACGCGCCTATGGCAGCTTGAAGCTAACCAATGTTCGACTAGGTTGCTATGAAGCGATTTATAGACGACGTCGCGGTCGAGGTCATCGAGGCTTGTCTGTTGGGCAACCTAAGCGAAATCATGGATCCGACGTCCATTTTCACGATGAAGGACGCTGTCATCACCCAAATTGCTGCAGAGACGGAAGAGAGTCGTGCGGCACGTGCGGAGCTCGAGACGAAGCTGAAAGTCCTCAGCAACGGAAGTGAAATTTGCAAGACATTTGCAGCACTCTATGTCAATGGTAAGGCTGGTGTCCTGTCGGGTCGAGTGTCTTCTAACATTCTATAGCCCTGGACAACGAAAACGAGAGCAGCGACAACACGACCGATCGACTCAGTGATACTGGAAGCGAACAGTCTGCCACTGGTTCTGTAGCAACAGCGGGGAGCGATGTTGACCTAGCCGATAGCTCTGCTCCTGAGGCTGTACTGGCTGATGATCTGATCTATGAGGCGGAGCAGGTAGTTGAGCAGCCACATACCAAGTCGACTCCTGAATCGGTGGAGGATGTGTGGGGTGGCGTTTCATCCAAGAGCAAGAAGGCTAAGAAAAATCGGAAGAAAAGGGCAGTGTTTGATGAACCAAAGCTCGTTTAGGCAGAACCTACCCTTGAGGACGACAACTTCTCCATTACTTGGGGCGCGAAGACGAAGTAAACGGAAAGAAGTCATCGTGTAGCTTTCTGTTTCAGAACTGTCATAAACCGAAAATCCAATGTATTAGTGGCCGCACTGCGTCTGTTTTTCTGTCTCCTTTAGCGAGGCAATGGCAGGAAGCCCTCTCGCACAGTTTCTCTGTCATTTTCGCAAAGTTGCAGTAGAATGCGATGCATCGATCGATGCGCACCAGTCTATTATTATATCTGAGGGGGGTACCATCGATTCATCAACGCTGGCCTGCCACGTACAAAAACGGTGGTTAGCGTAGGGCAGTGGCTAGATGGCGTGGATCTCTATCATACTGGTCACTGGACGCGTCGAGGCACTGTCGTCGCTCGCTGCGAGTGACGCAAAGTGGGCGTGTCTGGCCGCGAGCTTGCCTGACAGCTGCGGATACCGGAATGTTACACTGCCTGCTGCCAATCCTGTCGCCATGGGCCGCAGCTGCCATGTGTTCCCGGGCCTAACAGCGGCGGTTACATGGAATACTATTTGTCCAGTGCGCATGATGCTCCAAGAAGGCATTCTTGACTAGCTACGCCGCGGAGTCGATGAGAAGTGCCTCGCTTGTACTGACCAGGAAATCTTTGTCAATGCAACCAAGACGCACAATATCATGACAGATGCCATTATTGCGAGTGTACCACAGTTTCTTTTTCATGTTATTCGAGGGAGGGATATCGTCCACACCACGCTGTGGACTTGGTCCTGAGAGCAATACCCAACGCCAACTCCCAGCCTCTTCCGAACCTACATGAGCCCGAGTCAACTGTGATATAGCATGAAGAGGTGGTAGGATACAAGTAGCAGACTGTTACTGTTTTATCCATGCCGTTCCTTGCGGAGCAGAAGAGCAAATTAGCAGGCGAGACGTGGTATGACACTGGACTCGGCACTTCTTTAGCCACCACTGCACTTTCGACAGACAACAAGTCGGTATTGTTTCAGGAAGACAAACAGCCCAATAGAATCCATTATGATTCCAGCGCAAGGAACAATGGAAGGAAGTGGCTGATGCGTATGAACAGCATTTACTCTGCTACTTGAGGTTTTAATATAGAACCTGTGCACGGTCGCGGTCGCGTCCGCGTTAAATGAATGCTACCAGCAGTGCTATTCGATTGGTGGCTAGCTGAGCGTGGACCAATCAGATTATTCTACTCTACCCCCTGTCGGGTTTGTCCAACTCTACCCCCCGCAAGCAGGTTTTTGCAATCCAACTCTACTAGAGTTTCTGCACAATGGGTTAGTACTGTATGCCTTTAAAGGCCATCTCTATCTGTAAGGCCTGTCGCCAACTGGCGTCGGAGTCCTAGAACGTATGACATGCGTCCGAGTTGTTCAAGAAATCATTTGTCCCCCAATGTACCACGTACAACTTCCTATGAGTCTTGCGCTGGGCTCGTTTCCCTATCACAAACATCCTTGGCTCAGACGGACTCTTTCGACAGCTCAGCCTCAGGGAGGGAAGTTGTTTCTAGCGGCTGGCACGATGAGAAAATCCGGCGAAAAGTGCAAGAGTAGCGCTACTGGTCCAAAAGCATGATTGCAAGTGTCAACGTGGATGGCCCAAAGGGCTAGGGGGGGAACTTGGGGTAACGAGAGCTCTGCCGGACAGAATTGCGAACTGACGGCTGTTAGTCTTCCTTTATCCATTTTAGAACCCCGCTTATTACGACTATAGAACGATAAGACGGTCCACATTCATTTGATCGTGATCGCATAAAAATTCAGTAGCTGGCTCCCAGTCATGGAGTGACGAGCCCGATTGAGCGATGCGTGTGGCGTGTGCCTCAGCGGCGGGGCCATCCTGCAAGACCAACCGGAACGAGGGTAACGGGCGAAGATAACCACTGGAAGCTGCGTCTCTCCAACATACATATGCAACCCGACGTGTCCTTATATGATTGGCCGAATTAGCAAAGGCTTGTGCCTGCTGGGTACGATGACTTGTCACTGTTGCAACCCGATCCAGAACCCGAAACATAAACCTCTGCCTCATCGTCCATCATAGTCCACTCCGAGTATGCCCAAGTCCAAAAAGAAATCGCTCCTGTATGGGTACTACGAGCCTGAAACAGAGGAGAAAGTCGAAAAGGAATTTGAACCAGAAGAGACAAAGGAGTTACACTTCTTGGAACATATCAATACTGGCATGTCTGCTCCAAATGCAGAGGCTGGCAAACAGCCCCTGAATCAGGCGGCGAAAGCGTCAGTATCATTTGCGGTGTTCTTTTTCATTGCTGATATTTAGCATAAAGCTCATTCAACAATGCAAAACTTTCCGACGTAACGATTTATATCCGCACAAAACAGGGCGCGACAGAGTTGCCAGCTCACAGCTTTGTGCTAGCAGCATTAAGTTCGTACTTCAGACGTGCGCTGGAGGGTCAATTTGCAGAGAGCGCAAGCAAAGAGTTTACATTTGACCAGGATAGTCCGCATGCGTATTGGCGCGTGTTTGAATACATGTATACCGGGGACTATTCTGATGAACCAGCGAAGCTCGAAGCTTTTGAAGGTCGTTGTTTCTACCCAGCAAAAAACTCCTGCTGACTGACCACAGACGAACCAGATGATGAAGAGTTATCGCGCGATGTCCGAGTTTACAACTTGGCAGAATATTTCGAGCTTGACAGCTTGAAGCAGCATGCATCGGAACGGTTCGGCTCCAAAGTTCTAAAGCTATGGGTCAGTGACAGGTTTCCTGACTGTATCCGCAATGTCTACCATTCAACCACAAAGAGTGGCGGACTTTCACTTAGAACTACTGTTGTTTCGGAAGTGAAAAATCATATTGCAGCTTTGTGGGCGCAGCAGGGGTTTAGGGAGTTGTATCGCGAGGGGGGCGACTTCACAGAAGATGTCATGGATAAGATACTGAACTTGTAGTGGTTTTCATAAGCAGTTGGTAGGTCTCTGAGCAATTATCGCTTGTGGATAGAAGAGTGATGTGCTGCACAGAACTTGTGATGTACTTGATCACCGTCCCCCGCTATGTACCTCCTCGCAGCCGATGCATAACCTTCATAGGTGGACGTAATACAGTTCCTAGCGGTACAGCACTGCACAAAACAGCATACTGCCTTAGAATAAATGCTGGGTGTCGTCGATGCTGAACACCTTAATGCGAAGAGCGCATGGCGAGCAAGTGCTGGAACAGTAACTCTGGAATAAACGAGAAAATGCTCTCACCTCACTACCGAGAGTGAAAGCGTTCCAACGAGCGACGGGAGTAGACTCTGCCAGTAAAAGAATGAATTCGATCTATGCCCAGTTAGGGATTATTCTCAAAGAAACGCAAAACACTACCATGTATCTATCGTCGTGGGTATTGAGGAGCTCAGCGGGTGCTATACTACAGAGCTGATGGGATCACATGGCGTGACAAGATGCATAAGCTTAAATCGCCCATTATTTTTAAGGTCGCCCACCATCACCTGCCGCACCATCCTTGCGACGTGACAAGAATCTTGAGTTGAAGCTTTACGCGCATTGCCAAATGTATTGCCTCTTGGCTACAGCTTTCTTCATGTCAATGCCCAAGAAGATATCATGTGTCTCGTCCAATTAGGTCTGAACATGTTGAACGCAGCTAATACGGCTGCAACGAGATTTCTGGCCCAGGAGTCTAGAGGACGGCGGCGGAATGCTGCAAACTTTTGCATCGATACTGGCTGTATTTCCGATCGCCGCTCGCCAATATCGGCCACAGGTACCTGGCCGTTGAGTTTAACGGAGCTAGAGCTACGAATTTATAGCTGGTTCTATTTACCAGCATCAGACATCACAGTGTTGCTAATAATATGGTAACATGACAATATACGGCTGTACATACATATGACAAGCACAACCATCATATTGTAGCAATACAATATGACCATCCGCATATTGTGACAATACAATATAGATATCGTCGTATTGGCAGTATATTATTTATACTGTTTATATTGCTAGGACTTGGCCAAAACTTTCAAGAGTAAAAACATGATGTAGGGTAGCGGTCGACACGTGTTTGATGAATGCCTCACACCCTTAAATGAAGGCTGTGTAAGCGGCTCTAATCAGAAGGGCCATTTTACGGAAGAGCATCACACCATGCCCATTCACTGTCACGCCTTACACTGTTGCTCTTGCTTGAAAAATGGTTGCGCGTTTGCCGCTACGTGCACTCCACGTTCCACAACACCGTCTCGATGCCTCAACAACGCCTCGACTTCACCCCAACCTCACGACAGTTTACCCCGGCACAATCGAATAGCGACCTAGCCCTCTCCAACTCCGCGTTGCGCGACTCGGACGAGGGCAACGCGTCCAACTGCTTATCACCATTGCTCCACCTACTCTCATCATCTTCAGCACTGTGCCTCAAGCCAAGGACGTCGTGGGTTTTCTCGCATATGCCGGACGAAGACAGGGAGACCAGATACTATAACCAGCGAACGGGCAAGGAGGAATGGCGCTGCCGTCACTGCAACAAGACATATTCCTGCTCCGGCGGCACCGCAACTCCGGCTAAGTATCTGACAGGCCCTCCGCCAGAGGGCCATGGTCTCTCGAGGGGCGCTCCTCGAACATCCAAGGTGGTCAACATACGGGTGATTCTCGAACAAGCTCAGCTTACGGCCGAGGAGAACCCGCGGAAGCGCCGTCGCCTGAACGATCAAGCAGGTGACTCGGTTGTCCCTGACCAACTCGAAGCATTATATGTGAGGTTTATTTCGGCCTGTTCTCTGCCATTTCGTCTCGTCGAATGTCCCGAGTTTCGAGCGCTCCTATTGTACCTCAACGACGACGTTGATACGTGGCTGCCCGACACGCACGAGACGGTCAAGAAATGGATAATGCGACAGTTTGATGCGGAGAAGGCAAGAATAAAGCAGGGAATACAGGCGGCCAAGTCAAGAATTCACATCAGCTGCGATCTTTGGACGTCACCTAATTGCCTGGCCATACTCGGCATAGTCGCACATTACGTCACAGAAGACGGACAACTAGAGCATCACACGTTGGCCCTAAAAGACATTGACAGCGAACACAACGGCTCTCACCTTGCGGCAGCAGTCTTGGACGTGGTGGAGGACTGGGGCTTCGCGTCAAAGCTTGGGTATTTCATGATGGATAATGCTGCGAATAACGACACGATGATGACGTCGCTCTCTCTCGACCTCCTACGCCGATTTGACATTTACCACGACCCAAAAGTCCACCGCCTTCGCTGTCAGGGTCACATTATCAACCTTGCCACCAGGGCTTTCCTCTTTGTTAACGATAAAGAGACGCTCGAACTTGACGGTTCCAGGAACAGTGCATCTTTGAAGGACATACAAGCTTGGCGGGAACGGGGGCCATTTGGTAAGCTGCGTAACTTCGTTGTATTCATCCAACGGAGCGTGCAGCGGAGCCGCAGGTTTCTCGCTCTGAGCGGCAACCACAAGCTCGCGCGAGACAATGACACAAGATGGAGCTCATGGTACAGTATGCGGACAGCGCTGAACCTTCGCAAGGCAGTTGATGGTTATGTTAATAAATGGAAGGAAGCTGAGTGCGCCGGGGACGAGCTGTCCGCAGATGATTGGGCTGTCCTAGAAAAGAAAAAGGCCTTTTTGGAGAAGCTAAAAATGACTACCAAGGCTCTTGAGTCGTCTTTCCTTACTCTTGATCATGTTCTATTGGCCATGAACTTTATGCTTGGCCAGTTTGGAGCAGGGAAGGCCGCCAGTCGTGATGATCGCATGATGAGTCCAATGTACAACTCTGGGTGGGCGAAACTGGACAAGTACTATTGTCTCACTGATGAGTCGCCTGCCTATCTGGCCGCCATAGTGTTACACCCTTCGCATAAGTGGCACTACGTACAGGAAAACTGGAGAAAGGATTGGTTTGAACCAGCAAAGGCGTTGGAGACCCATTGAGTCGTCTCTGTCATTTTCTCATACCGTGTTGCCGGCAACAAACGAGTTCTTTGGATTGGAGGAATAAACACCTTCAGCTGGCACTCATCACGGATGAATATGAGCGCTACTGTCAGGCCGAGCGGACGTATGGCTTCAGGAGCGCACTTTCATGGTGGCCAGAGGAGACGCAGCAAAAGAACCACCCTAACCTGAGTAAAATGGCGGTCAACATTCTGTCTATTCCGGCACTGTCTGCCAAGCCTGAACGGCTATTCTCTGGTTGCCGGTGACAGATCGTCGTAACCGGCTGGGAAGTGATGTGATGGAAGTGCTAGAGTGCTTGAATTCGTGGCTGGATACACGACTTTCAAGAGAGACATGTGTAAGTGGCGTTTGGCCAATGATGGCTCATTGACGGGAGTCACGTGTGGTATATTGTGTATATTGTGATACGGGCAATATTTTGGGTTCCTGGCAATCAAGGGACTACTTCTCAATAGTTCGAGGTCTCATTGCTGGACGGGTGCTCTTATTCGCGTTGAAGCAGAAGCGATGGAGAGTCAACTACGGCCTTGACGGTAGCCGCATCAAAATACAAAGTTGGCTGTTCCCTACCGAGCAAAGGACTGCCCGTCACCTAGGTCTGAATTCAGCCAGCCCGACGTGGTTATTCTTTTGACTTGTCTCTGTTACTACTACGAAGGCCTGTCATATAAGAAACTCGTTGCTACTTTCGACCACGTGATGCGATCCGATCAAGCCGACATTGAGTATCAGGAGTGGGTTAAAGACACTCCAGAGTTGGCTACCGCTTTTCGCAGACTGGGTGGTGTCAATATCCAAGACATCGGCCAGCTTACTCAACAAGTGTTCCCGCCACTTCGCTACGCCAAAAGCACTATCGATTACTTTCTCTCACATCTCGTGTTTCCTAAAGAGATGAAAGAATTCTCACACAAGCTTTCAGCGTCGGGCTGGGACCTCGGGCAACAGAAGCATTACCCTACCACGGGCTTCAGCGGGACCAATGACTCTCGCCACGTCCTTCCCCTCGACATGAAGCAGCTTGACATTGATGAGCAGATTCACACCAATGCATTGATACTTGAAAAACTGCTACGAGAAGAACAAGGTTTATCTCCTAAAGTCAGCCACTCACTGGGCATCAGAAGTTCAAAGATGAGTTTTCTGTCATCGACAATCTTTTTGAATTTGTGGCGGATATTGAAAACGAGGTTCATGTTATTCTTGATGTGAGTGCCCAGGTTCTGGAGCTTACAAATGTTAAAGTTGCTACGGGATGGCTAGAACTTCTGCCCGAGGGTCATCAAGACGCTGTCGGCCTTTTTTATAATAACGACGGCATTTGCGTCATTGATCGCAAAGGAACTGTGGAGAGCCTGGGGCTCGTCATACAGTGACCAGCTTGATCGTTGCCTCGTCTTCCTTGAACAAGCGCATACTCGCAGAACCGATTTCAAACTTCCCAAAATCTACAGGGCCGCAGTCACCATAAGCCCAGAGATCACAAAGCATGGACCCGTCCAAGCTTGCATGAGAATGCGCAAACTGGGAAGCGGCCAGTCTGTTGTGTTTTGCCTATCGCAGGAAATACAATTCCGTGTCAACCGCACAGTGGGCAACGCGCAGGATGATGGAATTACCGTCGACGACGTTTTGCGATGGTCCATTTACGAGACACATGCTGACCTGCATCGGGTGATGCCACTATGGGCCATTCAGGGGTCACGGTTCGAGCGACAGAAGGAAACATGGGCGAGGTCAAAGACGCCTTTTGGTATCAAGATGTCTCAAGAGCAAGCCAAGGAATTCCTTGAGGAAGGATCGCAGACAATAGAGTACCGATATCGACCGACCGCCCACAATACCGCAGAAGAACTCCAGCTAAAACTTGGATGTTTGCATTTTGATTTCGAGGAAAGCGAGACCATGGCTGCTATTCGGTCACGCTGCGAGGACTTTGGCGTGTCGAGCTCTCGTTCGGCTGTTCTTCAAGAAGAGCAGGAAAAGGAGCTGGCACCCGAGGTTGAACAAGAGCGCCAAATTCAGCGGCCTAAGCCAGCGGCCCCGGAACTGCATGAGATACATCAAGATGTCATCAGCTTTATTCGCGATGGCACAATACGCGCTAGGTCGCCTGCTTTCTCTTCGGCCGTCCTTTCCCTCTCCGACACGAGCGTCGGCGACACATCCAAGCTGTTCCATTTTCCTGGCTCTCTCCTCGTCAATGCCGACTTTGCACGAACAGTCAAGATAATCACTTCGCAAAAGAAGTTGCCGGGCGCTCGCGACTCCTATCAGCGGCCCGTTCAATGGGTCCTCACAAGCTGGTGTACTGCGGCGGGAACGAGGGCTGCGATCATCAGCCCGCACGAGGCGCATGAGCTTATACCGGAAATCATGCGGTCAACTCACGGCGGAGGATTTTGATGAGACGGAGTGAAGCGGTATAACCGTAAGCGTTACGTACAATTTGTAGGACGTTTTCTTTGATGCTTCGGTGATGCTTCAGGAGAATTCTAGCGGCTTCGGTTTTGATCCAGGTAAATTTCTGAGTGTTTGGAAAACAAGGAATTAAGGTGGCGTTTCTTATGAGAGACATGCATGAGTAGTGGTAGGCCGCTCGAGCCGTGGTGAAGCTGTATATATTCCCGCGCACGTACTTGTACCATAAAGTAAACCTTGTCCGTAACGACGCATCGTCCTTCAGGCCAGTTTGATGCCCATCATGGAATCGATGGGTGACGATGATGAAGAGCCGACAATCGACCCCCGCATGCTCCTTATCCGTCCCGGCCCAGCCGATGCCGCCATCTTGCATTTAGCCCAAGCGGTGCTCCCCGTGTCTCCCCAAATGACTCGACTCCACCCGCAGCCACCATCTGAGGAAGACCAGGATAAAACCGGTCCCGCGCCGCCTGCGGTTACGCCGATTCATGTTGACGGCGCGCATTATTGAAATGCCTTTTCCGCATCATCGAGTCGACAGATATCCGCGTGTGCAGCTCTGAGGATGAGTTGCGAGGTAGTGCCGACTTGGCGGCACCCGGGGACGGAGGTAGAGCTAATTAAAAGTGGCAAAATGGAAGAGTACATATCAAAGTTCACGGAGAGAATGGGGGGCGAGTGGAAATTTCCGGAGATGGTGATGCCGTGGGAGAGCGAGAAGTACAAAGGTACAGATGGGCTGTACCGGTGTCCAGAGGCGGAATGCGCTGGTAACGCTGAATATGAATATGGCAGAGATCTCCGGTACGCTCCTCGCTCCTGTATGTTTCCAGAACCTTCGTTACTAACACGATGGGTGTGTTTGAGTCGTCATGCCAAGAGGCACTTCAAGCCCGTGCTTTGTCCCGCTGGCAACTGCGGCCAAGACCGTACCGCTGAGCAAAAGGAGATGAAACGGCATTTCCGGGAGATTCACGCTAGCCACACGATTCAAAAACCCTGCTGCCCTGTCCCAGGTTGCGGGAGTTACTTTCTGCGTCCCGAGTCGGTACATAGACATGTTTTACAGCAGCATCCTGGCTTCGCGGAGGAGGGGTGAACATTCTGATATGCGGAATTGAGCCAATCTAACTACCAGTCAATCATTTACAATTTAACACTAAATCTTGCTGACTATAAAGATAAGCCGCCTTCTTCGTCATCAGTCTCTTGGACGCTGTTGCTGGGCTGAAGAAGTCTCTCCACATGCAGCACGTCATCAAGCAGTCCGTTCAGCATACCGACTAGATCTGCCGTGTCTTGTCCCGCAAACCCGTCGTCGAGTCTGCATGCCACCCCGATGGATGGCTCCGCCTTAATATCTACCCCAATGCCTCATTTCTTGCCGCCAGCGTAATCTTGATCATCAGATCCTGCTGCCGATTCGACGCGAGGTCACCCTTGCGAAAGTCCGTAATCGTGGGCGGACCCCAGCTGAGGTAGACCTTCTCGTGTGATTCCGTAATGACCATTGTGGCAGGGTGGTGTTCAAAGTACAGCGGGCAGGCGAAACAAGCAGGCTTGCTGGAGTACACGTAGCGGTCACTGTCGAGGAACTTGAGCTTGTGCTTGTAAAAGTGCTCGAAGACCTCGACTTCGCTGTGCACCACAGGGTTGCATTTACGATAGGAGTTCATGTAGCGCGTCAAGGGCCAGAGACGAGAGTTCCGTTCCATGTCTTCCAGGATTTTTTGCGTGCGGGTGTAGGTCCCCATCGTTGCCTGCACGGAACATGCGGCGCAGGATTCGCGGCAGGGTGATGTGATGGTCAGCTAAAGGCTTGGGGACGCATTTGAGGGGAGGGATGACCTCGACAGGAGCGCGGGAGAATATCTCTCATCAGCAAGCCGTCGCGAAGTAGCGAGAGCGGCTTGTTGGCGCGCGAAGACAAGCTTCCGATGGCGTGCCGGGCTCTGGCCAAGCAGCCGCCCTGGCCATGCGGCAGTCTCCCTTGCGCGGCGTAGTTGTACCGCTGTCGCCTTTCCTCCTGCTCTAGTCTTGTCATGATTCCTGACGTGGAGGCTCGACAGATGCCCAGGCATACATGAAAGTGGCTGGCGGTTGTGTCAGTCCCTCTGAGCAGCAGTGAACGCAGCCAGTCGACAAAATCGCTATCTGTAAGTTCTTGTAGCTCAGTTCTCTTCCAGGTCTACCGCACTTCCAAGGCGCATTCACTTATCGTTGGCTGTTTCTGGCTTTCCAGCTCATGAAGTCACGCCAGCACAGCCCTCGTCAAGGCTGAGATGCACGCCGCGATACGCATCCTCGCATGCTCCAAGCATCTCTCCCGAATCTACGCATAAGATCCGGTTTCTCCTCTTCCTTTGCTTTCGCATACTGCAGTAGCATTGTCAACGACCTCTCCAGTCTCCTTGCACTTCTTCGCGTTCTTCGACGCCGCAGAAACACAAATCGCCTTCATCAACTCCGCCCACCTCTGCCACTACCAACGCCGTGAACATCAGTGGCCCCTTCTGCCCGTTACATGAAGGCAAGGTTGCGCACCACGTCGCGTGAGACGGGGTACGGCGCGTGCAGGGCGCGCGTGTCGTCCAGGCTGTCAAGGAGGAGAAAGGCCTCATAATAGCGGGAGAGGAGGCGGCTGTAAGGATCTATACGGGGCTTGCCGGTTCGGCCCTGCTCCCTGTCCGCTTTCAGCTGCGGAGTCAGGCGCTGGGGCGACCCTTTCTCTTGTCGCCGAGAATCAGTTGCTACTGCGCATGCTCTACTAAGGATGTTGTGAACTTTGGGGACGTTTGGCAAGGCTATCGGCAGAGGCTATCTGCAGTGGTTTCTGTCCCCAATTCTATTACAAATCGGTAGCTATTCTATTACTCGAGGCATAGCAGCGGCTCACAGGGGACGCACTTTGCGTCTTGACCGTTGGTCGCAAATGTGCAAGATTTGCAGCCTGCAGCGCAACCTTGTTGCCGCGAGCCCGTTTAGCTACGGTAGCGGGCCGGGCCATAGCTATGTCGCGTTATAGGCACATCTCACTGCGGAGTGCAAAATCCAATGGGTCGCAGGTGTTGACTGTTGCTCAAGAGGGTCTATAGGTGATGTCGCGACCAAAAGATGGGCCATGGCCGGTGGGAAGGACTGAGTCGTGTGAGGTATGTCTGTTGATGGTTACTTTGGTGGTGCAGCTGGCTGAAAGGTCTGGGGAGCTTACTTTGCGTAGGTAAGCAGGCAAGGCAAAACGGGTTCCAGCAGGCGGCAGCACGATGAGGTTCGCGACCAGAACAGCGGCGTACCAGTATTCGTGTCAAGATGCTGGGCGTGTCGAGATGCTCAGCGTGTCGAGTTGATTGTCGTATCTTTTTGGCAGCCCGCTTTGTGGTGTCAGGCCGACCCACACACGCCGAGGCCTGCATAGTCCTATCTTAAATCAGAAAAAATCAGAAAAGTAAGCCACATACATACAATACTGAGTGATGTGCCGCTTGCAGCGAGCAAGTGCGTGTACGCTGACAAGTGCCGCATTCAGGCAGAGGATCGTCATCTAGGACAGACACTTGAAAAACTGACTTTCTGCTCGCTCCAACGGGACTGTTTGAGCTTGATTATGTGTGAAGAATTGTACTTTCTAGTTGGTGAGTTAACTATCAATAATGCGCTCGTGAAAATACTGGGCCGGTATGCGCAACAGGTCACCGTCCTCGTTTGGTTGACCTCCTTCCCCCTCTTGTTGGCCTGGCATCTGACTGGTTGCCGTTCTAGGCAACTAGTTTAGCCACTTCTCTCGGTCGGCTCGGTGTGCCCCAAGCCGTCGTGCCCATGCCGTCCACCACAGACCGCTGTGCGCATATCGCCCTGAAGACCGTCGAAGAATACCTCCTCGGCTTAGGAAGGCACTCCGCTGACACCTAACAAATTTTTCTCGCTGTGCCTCCAGGCAGCGTGAACTCTTGGGACTAAAAGTCAGGCTGCAGGTGGGTAAGAGGGCTGACGGAGTCCGTTGAGCAAGGAGCATGCCCAAGTGCAAATTTACATGGTGTGACAACTGTGGACGATGTTGGTGGCGTTTCTCTCGATATTGATGGCTTGTTCCTGTCCCGCTTTTCATCTTACCCCGTTACAACACAACCGTTCGTCATTTTCCCTTGCTTATCAGTAGTTCGGCGTTCGCTTTTTTGCCACGATTACTACCAGTGAGTTGGCCTGTTGTGTTGGGGCGTTGAAGGGTCACCTTCACGCGCGCCGCTCGCTGTTACAACACTAACGGATGTTCACGGAGTAAAATGGACGAAGCTCAGGCGGAGTACACGCAGGCTGACGCCCTAGACATTTACGGCACTGTCTCCGTTCTGGCTTATGCTCTCCTGAGATCGATCCTCTACAGGACCGCTGAGCAAGGATTCAGTATCAAGATCCAACAACCGGCGAGTCCCCGACTGTGAGCGGGTGGCGGAGGTGCTGAGTTTTGTGCGACAATTATCTCTCAAGTGGTACCGTGGGTGGATAATTTGTAAGTTGGTTGTCCACTCATACTACCAAGTAGCCTATACTGTCCTGGCGTGGCCGAGCCTGATGCTGCGTCTATACAAATAGATGTTGGACCAACGCAAATTCCAAAGTGTCAGCATTTCATTTTTACGTTCACCTTCATCTTTACGTTCACCTTCATCTTTACGTTCACCTTCATCTTTACGTTCACCTTCATCTTTACGTTCACCTTCATCTTTCTTTACGTTCACCTTTACGTTCACCTTCATCTTTACGTTCACCTTCATCTTTACGTTCACCTTCATTCTTAACACACAGTAACAATGCCGGTGTTGTTCGGAACCTACCACAAGCCTCTAGTGCTTCAATTTGCCAAAGAAGACTCTCCGGCTGAGGGTATGGTCGATCTACTCTATCTACGAGTGTTGTGTGAAATTTCTACATTCCTTCGGCAGGACACAGCAACGATATTGGAAGATGACGGCCCACTGCAGCCAACATCAGATGCAGATGCGATGGATGCCTCAGACTGGGAACGCATTCGTCACCGATACTTCAAGTTGGAACATTCAAAGTTACCGTCTGCGTGCGTTTTCAGCCCCGAGCGCGATGTCCTATGGTTCAGCCATGAGACTGATAACCACGACCTGAATGAAATGGCCCCATACTACGGCACGCAGTTGGGCACGATTCGCAACGTCATATTCGAGGAGACAGACTGGGATAACGCGCAGAAGTGTTTAACACAATTGGCGTATTTTCCTGGCGTCCAGACAGTCTACGTATGGCTGGACAGTTATCGATTCCAATCTGGCGCTCTTATCACAGACCAGGAGGGATACTACAAGAGAGCTCGAGATCTTATACAGAGGGACATAGGCCTTCTTCGCGACCACGATGTACTTGTGGAGTACATCGACTGTAATGGGGGAGTATATGGTGGCTTTCGGGTGCGGAAGGATATCTAGTTGGCATGTGAGCCTGAAAAAGCTTCCGGTTGGGTATCTGGCATGTCGCCCGGTGCGGTGAAAAAAGGAACTGTGTGTGGGAAGTCGGGTTCAACCGCGACTTCTCCGCTAAAAGTAGAAACCAGATATGTGGCTCAACCCACAACAAGCAACATTTTGAGCAGTACAAGTATTAAATATGACATTGATTCGCAAGATTCTAGTGACATGCAGACATTTACAAGACTGTTTACAACCTGTGACGTCAATCATTCAAGAAAGAGCAACTGCAATTGTTGGAGCTTGTTGCCTTGTAGCAGCAGGTAACCCCCAAAACGGACTATGTTCAAGTCATCATGTTTCTCGTGGTCGGTTGGCATCTAAGAAACATGCATGAGATCAAACTGGGGGAGAAGGAGAAAAAGCTCGGTCTGTGCAAGTCGAGTAGAAGGCAATGGAGCCATTCAGGCCACCAGGTTTATTGTTCAATGCCCAGTGCATGTACAATTCCAGTTAGGGGGGCGAGGCAAGCGCGGGTATAGTGATGGACCTATTGAGAAACTCAAGCGCGTTGCCCTCGTCAGACCAGCCGTAACGCCCAGATCCTGAGAAAGAACCAACAAAATGAGAAGTAGGAATTAAGCAGCGGCATAAGTTCGTGTCGCCAGGATACCTCCAGTCCGGCGCTGACATGTTCCGGTATGAAGACCTGCATACCGTCGTGCTCGCCAATTACATAAACATACATTGACTGGCTGTATCGTGAGCCAGGGCCGCTCTCCCAATAGCCTTCGTCAGCATTATGATATCTGCAAATGCTGGTGGGAGCGGCATAGCCGACATGTCTCATGCTGTCTAGCAAGCGCTATTCGTTATGGTCGTAGTGCGCCAATGCAGAGGCCAGATCTGGACAGCAGTGCTACCGCCTAGTAGTTGAGCTCTAGGTGGACAGCTGCTCTCAGTATGAGTTCTGTGGCACCGGTCTCGAATACTGTAAATCTGGTGCCGGAGAGGTAATGGCGAGCGACAACGGCGATCGTGGCGACCATATCCACAAAAATAATGCCAATGGCTCGATTTACGATTCGGAGACGCGGAGGGCTGCCACCGCATCTGATATGAGTATGGAGCGCGCAACATCAGCAGCTCACAGGAGACGCACTTTGCATCTTGACACTTGGTCGCAAATGTGCAAGATTTGGAGCCTGCAGCGCAACCTTGTTGCCGCGAGCCCGTTTAGCTACGGTAGCAGGCCGGGCCACGGCGCTGCCAATATCTATGCCGCGTTCTAAGGCACATCTCACTGCGGAGTGCAAAATCCA